CGCCCGCACCCTCAGCTTGCCCCGCGGCCCGTGGGCACCACTTTTTTGCGGAGTTTTCACGGTCCCCTGCTCGCGAGGGGCAGACCCTGTCACCGTTAACTGCTCTGTAATACGTGCGACCGGATCGCGACATACATTCAGAATACCAAAATCTTCTTTAGGGCGTCTGCTTTTAACACCTTTATGTTTTCAAGCGTTCCGTAGGTAGTTTGTAAAAGTCAGTATGTTGGTGCAATGTTGACGGAAACCTGATACGTGAAATTAAAACTGTCTAAATCCTTCCGTTTGTTGTTACTGTGTCACACCGAAGGTGACTCACCACGCCGAAGGTGAGTCCAAACTGCTTGTCAGAAGAAATGTTTGTCCCTCATGCTGCTGCTCGGGATGCCTTAGAAAGTGTTAAGCCGCTTAAAAAAGCAGAGAAACTCCTGAGCTGGATTTCCAGCTCAGTGTGTGCCTGTACACTGCGCAGCACAGCACGCGTGGCTCTGTATTCAGTGGGGACAGGATAACCTACCCAAGGTTGTCCTACCTTTGGGTAAGCAAAGGGTCGATGATGGTTAGCAGATGGCTGAGCACCGGTCCTGAAAGGTGGTGAGTGCCCTCAAAATCCATTTCGGGGTTCTTGATGTGTTTTGGGATGTGGTCAAAGCCATATAGTCTTGAACCCTAAATCTCTTTAGCATTGTAAAGTACATCTGAATTAAACAGGTGTATTCGAACAAAGTATATTACTGTTTGACATGCATCCCAGCTTTTAAAAGTGATGTTGTGTTACCTTTGGGGAGTAAAAAAATACACGTTTTCAAAGTAACCTTTGCTGTTAGATGACCAATACTGGAAAACTTGCAGTACTTTAAAGCACAAGAGAAAGAAGTTGTTTATTCGGCAGGTTTCTTGATTGCAGTAGCTGCTTTGATTTTTCTCTCATTTAGTTAAAATTTATGTTTAACGGAACCTTCCTTTCCAAGACCCAGTAATTATGATACTTTTTGATGAATAGGAAATCTACTGTTGGTTATGAAATGTTTGCAAGTGAAAAAAAAATAGTTGAAATACATTATGTGAAAGAGAAATGCTATTAAAAACATTGTGTACATGTGACTTGTAATTTTACATGTCTGCAAAGTACATAATACCTAACAAAACGTGTTTTCAGTGTAATGCTGAACTTTCTATTCTAAATTCTAGAAATCCTAATTTATGTTAAATATCTGTCTTTAAAAAGAAAAGATCTGCACTGAAAACATAATTTCCATACTCAGAGAAAAGGTAGGGAAAATGAAGTAAGGTTCTGATGTTGCAGATGGTGAAATGACATGTTTGAAGAGACAGATCTTTTTGATTTTTCCTAACAGCTCCTGATGTTATGCGTTTGGCTGTTACACTGTATTTTTCAAAGCTATGCTAGTGGTTTGAGACTGCAGAATCACCAGGTTCTCAGTCCTAACTCTAGGTTTGAGGTTCTGGATCCATGATCTCAGCTTAATTAATTAACTATTGCTATTTTTTTAAAAAAATGACTGTGTTGTGCATCAGAGATAGTTATCAGATGCAGTTATTAAATATGTCCTAGAAAAAAAGTGAGAGAAAAGAGAAAGAAACTTGGAGAGAGACCACCCTTTTTGTGGTACCCAGAGTGTGAGGATGAGTCAAGTACTGTATATTCCCCATTCCATTTACTTAAGATGTGATTTCATTTGAGCTAATCCTTCAGCTACAGTGACATTTCCAACTTTCCCATTTGTCACCTACTACAGTAGTTTCTCCCATACAGTCACTTACAGAATCTGCATGTTTCTCTATGAGGCTCTGTCTGCCTCTCTTAATGCAACTGACTCCAGCACAACTTCCTGGGGTCTTGTTTCTCTCCCCTGTACTGCTACATCCCTGTCTCTTCCCATGGACATATAGAACCTTTTCTGAAAACCAAAGACTTGAGAGAGGGTTATGAATGAGTAAAGGCATTAGTGCTTTAATTTTTAAGTACTGGGGTTTTCTTCCTGAGTAGCATTTGCCTGAATCAAATAATCATGCTCTGGGACCTTCAGGAGATAAAATATACATGGTGGAAAAGGGAAGAAAAGCAAAATTTACCATGTCAAAGAGAATGCAGTTTTGATCAATTTTCATGTTCTGAGATTTGTATTAAACTTTCAACTTCCTAACGTACTACAAAATGTGGGGGGGAGCAAATGTATTTACTGTCCTACTTCAGTTTAGCTCACAGTTTTTCTAGAGTAGAAAGTCTCATGACGCAAGATTGGGGAATGCACTAGAAAGCTAAATGAAATGCTGCAGGAGGAGCCAGTGAATGCTCTAGTAGATTGTTTCAATGTTTTGTTATGGAAAGTCAATGTGTGAGAAGCTAAATTGGGCATTAAGTGTGTCTGTAAAATACCTAGCCTGTGCTCCCACAAAACGAGTGCCAGTTCAAGTTGTGGCTTTCATTATTGGTACTTGAATTCTTCATAACGCATTTTAATTCACATTTTGAGGCATATGTTTCGTGTTTGTTATTTGACACAGGTGAAAAGTGTCCACCCAGAATGCAGATTTCAGCTGGAGATTCACAAGGAGGAAACACGGTGCATGGAACTTTTAAAGAATGCAAAGCCAGTGGACTACAAAGGTAAGGAAAGATAAGGTGTAATGTAGAGAGAGGTAACTGGAGTATTTAAGATTTTCTCCCTTCATCTTCTTTACTGCTCTGGTTGCAGTTTCGATATTTGTCTGTGCTGTGCTTAGAATTTTGTAGTTTTTAAAATTGTTGAAAGCCTTGGATCCAAGCATCTCTCTTTAACTGGTTGAAACTAAAGTACTAGTGGCCTGAATGATCTCTGGGTTTCTCAGGCAGATGATGTTTCAGACAGGAGAACAAATTCCCACACAGACTACCAGAGAGTCCTGCAAAGGAGAAACTGGACAGTCGCATTACATTCCAAAACCGAATTCTCTCTGTTACTGTTTGTTTTTATTTTCTTTCTCTATAGAAAGATAAAATATAGATAGTGATACAGCAAACTGTGATTTAATGGAAGGAAGAAGGAATAGAAGAAAGAAGAATAGATGTAGTTTATTTTGTTTAGATTTTCCTTGCTACATTTTCATGTGAGTAGAACAAAAATTTATGGAAAAATGACATTTTTCTTGTAAGTTGAAACTGCTTTATTTGGTTATTTGGTGGGATTTTTTTGTGTTTGATGTGTTTTGAATGCACTCTGAAGATGATTATGGGACCTCAGAGACCTGCTATCTGCAGTGCCATTTAAGCATAAACATGAGTCTCAACTCACGAAGCTTTCCCCACCTCTCCTCAATTTCAGTCTGTGACTCCCTCAGTGCAGACTCTAATCATCAATTTGTATGCAATAAAATAATTCAAAAGATCATCAAGAGTTTGTATTTTACTATAATTTCTCCTTTTCATTAATCCAGATGAGTAATTTAAAAAATGCAAAATCTTATTGGAATAATTAGTCTAGATTTAAATTTTTTTTATTATATGAGTGGTGAAGAGCGATAGCTGTTACACAAATAATAACAGTGTGAAATCAGATGGAAAAATAATTAGTAGTCCATCTTAATGAATTAAATCTTGAATTAATAAATTCACTGTTAGCTGGTACATGGCTTTGAAAGCCAAGCTTTCCTCAAGATACACTTCTGTGATCCAGGTGCTGGGCTGCTCCAAGAGTATCCTTGTGATGCACACCAGTGTTATTTTGGGTTCCCTAGGGGAAGAAGAAGTTTTCTGTCAATATTTTCTTCCCAGCAACTTTTCACTGGAAGAGGGCTGCCTCCTGAAGGCAAACTGCTGTGCAAGACTTCATGTCTTGGAAAGACACAGTTTGTTTGATGGTTTTGATTCAACCCTACAGATAGTGCTAAAACAACAGTGGAAGGATTTACACATTTTATTGTATACCTTTGGAAAGGAAGGAACATTCCATTTTGTTGGAGACTAGAATGAAGCCCCTGTGGTAATGAACCTTTAAAACCGTATGTTTAATGTTACAGGAGAATTTATTCTATGCTTTATGTTAGAGATACCCTTACCAAGAGCTTTTAGAGAATAGCCTACATTAAATAGATGCATTTACATTTACAAAAATAGCCATTCTCTGTGTGTTCTTATTTTCATAATAAACTCTCTGTGGTCATAGAAAGATGTAAGGACTATTTTGTAATACTCTGACTGCTGATGAAGAAGAAGTACTAATGAAAATTGACAAGCTGGAAGTAGTCCAAGTCCTAGGTCCACACGTAACTTGTAGTATACTTGAAACATAATTCATTACAGTAAATTCACAAATCCTATTCTGCTTTTTCCCGAATGGGAAAGATGGTTATACAGGTCTTGTTATGCTTTTCTAAGTTTAGTATGCACTATCTGGCTTACAAAAGCTGTAATGAAATCTTGTGAAGGTTCTGTCTTGAATTTGGAAACAGAGGTTTCCTGAGATTTCACACTGAAGGTTTGGGCCTCTATTATCAAAATCAGTGGGAATATTTTTATTAACTCCTTGGGCACCTGAGAAACTTTCACACCTCCATTCCAAACCTTCACACCTCCATGACATTCTTCAGAATCTGGCTGGCATGTGCAGCTACTGAAGTTTGGAGGATCCAAATTGTATGGGACAGGCAGTTTCTCCTTTGACCTAGATGGCAATTATATATTGAATAGCTTATCTAATCTTCTCAGCTCCCAGTTAGGGAGACATCAAGGAAATATTTAAAGGAAATTGAAGTTGGGGTTTTTTTGGACATATTAAAATGATCTTGTAGTCATCTTACCTGAGCTGCCTCATGACATGGGGTAAAGAATTTCACTAAGTAATTTTTGTAGTGCACCTAAAACCACTGACTATGAAATCTATGAAGGACTTGGTTACTTCATGGCTTAATAAAACAATAGTGTGTTTTGCAAGGAAACACTGTATAAAGACTGTGTAAATGTCCTTCGAATGATGCTAAGGATATACTAAAACCACAGGACCCAGTTGATCTAAATTCTGCTCATTTGCCAATATCAAACTGTGAGACATCCAGACCTCCTGCTTTGCACCCTTTGGGGGGTTTTCAGGCATTAGCACATACTTTTCCATCAGTAGGCAGCATTGCACTCCATTTAGGGAAGAAATCATTCTCCAAAGATCTATGGCAGTGCCTTCCTCCCTGTAGTGCTCTTTAGCACATCTAGTTGTTTATTTTATGAAGACTACATTAGCTTCCATCCACATTTGTTTTCTTCTTTCCTCTTATAATTTGGCCCTTGAGGTATGGATGCACCTTGCCTGGAAGCATAGGAAAGGACTTTTTTTTTTTCACAATTATTTTTGAAGGGCAGACAAATTACATTCTAAATAGCTCATAACAGCTACAGATTTTGAGGTCCATATAGAAAAAAACTAATTTGTTTTTTGCCTGCTACCCATGGGTTTTCTTCTTACAAAAAATAGAAAGCTCTGAATAAAAGTGATTGAAAAGATGAAAGTTTGTCCTGCTGTAACTTTCTGCTTTTATTCTGTATTTAGAATTTTTCCTTATAAAGTCACTGACTCATTTCTGTTTGCCTTTACATGAAAAATGAAATCTTATGGTCAAAAAATGTTAAAACTTAGTCAGCAGACTTTTGAACAGGATTGTACAATAAAAAGTTCTGAAAAGATTTCATTACAAAAAAATGAAGTCTAGGGTTTTTCGATTCATCTTGGACTGAGTGGCTGCTCAGTTAAATGTGTCTTTCAGATCTTGCTTTCCAAAATGTGTTTTTGTGAGACCCATATGTCAGACAACATTTTTAATTTTAGATATGACATCTTGACTTTGAGGAATGGATGTAGACAGAAAGAAAAATGGCTTTGGAAAGAATTTCATTAATCTCTCAAAGAGAAGCTTCATAATGCAGCTAGTAATGGGAAATTAAAAGAGACAGGACTACCAAAATTATGCTCTTAGTTATTCATAAATTTAAAGCAAGAGGGACAAATGTTCCTATCTAATCCAGTCCCCTGAATTACACTGACAGTTGAATTTCACTCAGTGATTCCAGCACTGAGCTCATGATCTTGCAGGTGAAACAGAACACATTTCCCTGAAAGCTCTTCAGAACAGTGGGATGAATATTCAAATGCTGGATCCATGGCAAGTTGTCCAAAAGTTTGTTTATCCAACTAACTTTGCTGTTAAGGTTTTTTTTCCAGTAAGAAAGGTGACTGTTTTGCATTTACACACACATACACCCTCACCCCCACACTTGTGTGTAGCAAGGCCAACTTGATGACCACCCTTTCCTCCATATTAGTAAATAGAAGACTTGCACAAAGCCAGATGAGGCCTTTCTTTTGCTACAGAAAAAGGAATCTCCTCGAGGTTCCCCCATCCTTAATCCTCCCAATCTCATCAAGGTCTTGCATTGGGCTTTGTTTGGGAGCACAACTATTTTCACTGTGAAATGACTCAGTAGATCAAACTGCAGTGTTGCTTACAGTCATCTGAGGTAGGATTCTAAGTAGAATTAAATGAGATGGTGAGATCATGAAACTTTCATGCAGCACAAGCAGCTCTTGGCAGAATAACATTAGCTTTCTTCAATCTCTGTGCTGTTGCTTTTCTAGTTGTTGTACAGACGTTGCTGCTTTTTGCTTCACACACGTTTTTATGCAGGGAGCCCAAGTGGCTGCTTTGGATGTTTTTGTCTGCTTTGGATTTCATTAACTGAAGTGTTATCATTAATGACATTACATAAAACTGAGCATTCTTATGGTGTTGGCAATGTCTGGTCTGTGTGGAAGTTGTATATAATCTGAGAACAGAAGAGAGGCAGGGCTGGTTTGGCTTATGAGGAGGCAGGGTGAGAAAGGTGAGAAAGAACCCGGAATGAAAGGAGTTGCCTACTGAAAAATAGCCAATGGGAAATAAAATGGTGAAGACCAAGAGAATCGCCTGATGAGCCTCATTCAAAAGCCATATATAATAAAGGTTACTAAGAATGACAGTAGTAAACTCTTTTGGAAAGAAGAGGGGCAACACATCCACAATGATTCTGAAGACCTGAAATTTCTAGTCCGCCCAAAATGTAAATAGGAATTCAGCAGTAGACATTAAGAAATGGCATTTGGAGCCCTGAAGAAGGAAAGTACACAGCCATAAATGAATTTATTATGTTTTCCAGAAGATTCTGACAGAAATACTGCCCCGTATAGTTTTGTATTCGTATCCCAGTAAAGAGAGCTGTGGCCATGACAGTCTACTCTCCATGACATTCAAATACCACAAGGAAGAAATCTTGAATATCAAAACAGTGAAGAAGCTCCAGCTAATATAAAAATAGCACATGAGTTAGACATATTAGAAACTAGCAGAAATATATGGTCCTAGTACTTTACAGTGACTTTTACTATTTTCTGGTGAGGTTTATATGAACAGGACATTGATATTTAATGGTGTTTTTTGAAGAATGTACAGCATGTCAAAATTGGGGCAACAGGAAGATGACTATACATGTGTTAATATTGCATAAGAATAGAAAATGTTGTTCTTATGGTAGGTTAGAATGCTGTCCACTCATACCAAAAAAAAATGTTCCTGTCTCTGAAGGACTTTTGAGTAACTGGAAAGCAGGAT